TAACATCAGTGAGACACCTTTTGTAACCTTTTACTAGTCTCTGACATCGGCAGCAAGTTTGGGCCACTCCTCAATGCATAATTCTTACAGCTGTGAGATGTTTGAGGGTTTTCTTGCATGTACAGTCTGTCAAGTCACCCAACAGCATCTCAGTGGGATTAAGATCAGGGCTTTCACTTGGCCTTAATGTCTGGCCTTAATGTTTCTCTCAGAGAGCAAATATTTTCTCCTTGCACACCTCAAACTTGTGTAGTCTCTGATAGTAGAGTCATGCACTTTAACATCGACACTAGCCAGAACCCGCTGTAGTTCCTGTGATGACATTTTAGGATTTTTGATGACTTCTTTGAGCAATTTGTGGTCTGCTCTAGGGGTGAATATGCTTGGACGGCCAGACCTGGGCGTGGTGGCAGTTGTTTTGAATGTCCACCAGTTGTAAACAATTTTCGAGATGGTGGAATGGCTGATGTCAAATTCCTTTGAGATCTTTTTGAATCTCTTACCAGACTCATAAGCAGCCACAATCTTCTTTCTGAGGGCACCAGACAGCTCTTTAGATCTCACCATGGCGCTCACTTCAACACTTCAACAGTCAGGAGCACACCAAACTAAATCTGAGGTTTAAATAGGGCAAGTCTCCTTTAAAATGCTGGGTAACAATGTACTGATCATGTGCACCTGACATGATACAACTGTGTGGGATTTTAACCGTTTTAAGTGGGATGACATGTGGGGCTGTCCTAATTTATTCCTCACCCGAATTTGCATTCTTTTTAAATTATGTTTCACATAAAGTTTTAAAAAAGGTTTTTCTTATTTTTCAGTTGTTTAGTTATGTTATTTGGATCCCTCAGTATCATTGAGATTTATATTAAATATCCATGTGTCCAAATACATTTTAAAGTATACAGGCTTTCATAGGGTGTCCTAATTTTCTCACATCACTGTTGCTGGGTTTTTCTAAATGTGCTTTGAGACACTTTTAAAGGTCTCCACAAAGAAGGTGGTCAATCGTTTTACTGTCCAAAGAACTTTCAATATTTATTTATATAGTACAAAACCTCATGTGTCATGCCTCCTGCATACTCTGTTTGTAGAGCATGCACTGAATACCTGTAATTATATCTATCATTTCATAAATCTCGGAATAACCCTATTTATAGGCCTAGCTTTGAAATGCTGGCCTTTGTAAGTGAATGAATGACAAGGCTCCAGCAGACATCATTCAGCCCTTTTGTGGGCATTTACTGAAGCTCCTACAAAGAGTATCAAAGGAAAACTCCAACAATCCTCGTAAATAACCTTGGTTACTTCTGCTGACTTACTTGATTCTTTAAGTAGGTTTACCGAACATGTACAACACACTTTTTTAAAATTATTTTTTTTACAGATTGTATAGTTTGCTCGTATAGGTTAGAATCCACCAGGAATCTCTCCAGATACTCTGGCTTCTTCCCAAAGCAATGCAGTTAGAGCTTTATCCCTGGAACAAACTGGCGACCTGTTTAGGGTGTGCCCCACCACTCGCCCCTGGCAGCTCGAATTGGCCCAACTCTTGAGTTGTGTTGGGTTTTATGGCACTCCCTTTAATTTAAGAATTTAAGAATAAGGACATAGGTGGAAAGGCCATATTACAATGTGATATACTGGCCTGATCTTCTATTTCTGTTCCATGATATGTATAGTGGGAACTACTGGCCAGTCAATCCTATGTTGCACATTAGCACGGATCTGTCATAACGACATAAAATAAAGGGCAGTCTAATGATCTTGATTGCCTATTGAGAAAACCTGATGTAATGTGTGAAAACACTATGATGTATGCACAATGAGTCACCTCATCAGCACAGAAACCTGGCATACGATTACATTCGCATCAGACCTGCCCTTAATGCCAATAAAATTATTCCATTCAGGAGGAGGTAAGTGTACGAGCCATTTATCACCCAGCAAGCACAATTACAGACAAAGCCATGGATAAATTGTAGTGTTAAACATTATCATATTGAAGGAAAAAAACAGCAGATGCTGCAAATAACCATATGAAAGAGATGATCTTCTATTTAGCATAGCAGTAAAAATAAGAAAATATACTTAAACTGAAGCTAATGCTTGCTGACAATGTTTCAAAGTTAACCATGTTGATATATAAATGATTGCTGGGAACAAAAAACACATTCAGCTGTTGCCTTTCCAAAATAAAAGCCTGCAAAAATCAAGGCAACACCAAACACACATAAATAAAGCAAGCAGAAAATGGATGCACCCATCTGGAAAGATTTCAACTGATTCATTATTGGAGTAGCCAGTGTCATAATCCCAGAACCTTATTAGTGATATAATAACATCCCCATTTCTTTCCAACATAGTGATCACAAGAAGTATCAGGAATTAAAGGTCCTGACAGTAATTCGGTAATAAAAGAGGAGTCATTAATTGTTTGGCTGCTAGGAAAACGTTTGCATGCATCAAAGTGAGAGTGAATAAAGGAAAGAAGTATTTATGACTAGACAGCTGGTTGAGGTTAGTTATGAATGCGAGCATGCAGGCCAGCAATTTTGGGTCCCATGAGAGCAAAAGCTCTAGCCTGAAGCTCGACATTTTCTAGTCTGACAAAATTATGCTTTTGAGAGATGACCTATCTTTTTAGCTTCATGTGAACTTTTAAATGGCTAACCAGTCTGTTCAAATATGTCTGATAGACAAACTCCTGTAGATTTTTTTTTCATGATTACATGACGTTACTCCATAAACCGGTGACGTAAATACTTTTTAACTTAAGCAAATAACTTCATTTCGATAACTTTGTCATCAATATTGGTCAAATTTATCCTCAGTCATGGTTTTCCATCAGTTTAATTATAGTCTACGGCTCACCCAGTTTGCTCGAGGATCTTTATTGGATATGTGTAGATACAGATAAAAAAAAAAAAAAAAAACTTAATAACCTAAGAAGGTAGGTCAACAAACACTTTTTGACTCCTGTTCTAAATTCTTGGCTAATAGTAGACCAGAACTGAACAAATGCAGGCGACAGAAGAATATTAGAGAATTTCCTTAGATACTTGTGTGGAAAAAAGGGATGAGTAAGAGAGGTCAAACACACTACAACTTAAGAAAACACCAGCAAACAGAAAAATGCTGCAAAAGCACACAGA